TCTGAGGATTATATTTACTCTTCTTTGGTCGAACTCACCCTTAAAATGACTTCTATTGACAAAAGGCACAGACTATTTAAAACTTTATTACATTTGTTCAGGGTACAAAAGGCTTACTTACTCGCATTAATATTCACGAACAGACCCTCGACGAAAGGCTAGTGTAACTTTATTGCTGTTCGGTAATGTAGATAGCACTCAGCACTTTAATCAGCCTCTCATACGACCGAACTAATTTAGCGCATGACTAATTATTCGCAGCACTTAATTGCCTCGTTCTACCTAGCCCAACGATTAGAGATTTTGTGCGAGATCAGCCATAATTTGGCCAATAAGTAGTTCGTAAAATGTGTGAGTTAGTTCACTGTTTGAGAAGCAATTAAAATATGATGAAACCACAGATCACTGAAACTAAAGGGAAATGTGACAAGGGGGCGGGGCCGGTGTCGCAGCAATATGCCCAAAAATAAAACACATTGCTCGTGACAGCAATGATGACAGCAGCGACGTCATTGTCATATGTGTACTTATACAGTTTTCATTGCTTGCGTAGTAGCACAGAATAATAATAAGTACTACGTACAGTGGGTCTAGACAAAGTGCAAATTATAATCGCAAACCAGTCGAAAAGTGGTCGAAAAGCCCCTTTTTTGTATGGAGTTTTGACGGATTCGATTTTCGATTCGATCAAAAAGTGCGTTTTGTCTAGGGGGGCAGAAGTTTTACTTCGCGAAGGTATTTAAAAAAATGTATGCTCAATGTCACTAACAATATGGTGTAATTTAGCCTGTCTCAAGAGTCAAGCACCATTTTGTTGACAAACGTCAGTGATCGGCACTGCGCCGAAGCTATAGGGCTGACTTCGGTAAAATGATGTGACGTGAGGTGCCAAACTGCGGAAAATGGCGGAGGAAATACATGATTTAGCATGAATTATCATGAATAATATTAACTACTTATTTACCTCTCAATGTCTTAGGCAACTTACAAAAGTACATTCTGTGTTTTCATTATTATTTAGGCAGTTAAATACTGCACAGTATTTAGTACACCATTTTCTTTATTTTCTTCCATCATAGGTACATAAGAATAGCCGTGCGTGAGTCAATGTTCGCTCTTATGTGAGGCCTTGTCAAATAGTATCCTGTAGGTGGGCCATCGTGCGTGTTTTGTTTTCAATGTAAACTCGCGGAGATGAACAGGCCTGGTAGTACCTACTAAAGATTATTCGAGCGTTGAGTCAGTTGAGTATTGATACCGCTGCTAATGAGCACACACATATTTTGATTACTTTGTGTGTGTGAATTTCTAATGCGACACTTGAGTTTCGAACTCAGCGCATTAGTTGGCATCTCTCTATATCTATAAGGATGAAACTAGGGTAAACCGTATAGCTATTGCCCACTTACGGATTTCAAACACATTGAGATGAAAAATTAAAGAAAGTATTTTAATTATCGACCATTTATGACTTTTTTCTCATAACTCAATAAACTGTTAAACAGAATATTAACAGTTTTTAGTTAAAACTTACGTAACTTAGAAAATATTGAAATAAATTTAAAATCCTCAAAAAAGTACAGTCATTGCCCATTACTTACACTAATTGCCCACATCAAAGCACAGTAATTGCCCAGTGTCTTAAAACAAAATAATCAGTTTTAAAATGACAAAATAGGCTTTAAATAAACAAAACAAAACATTAAACTTAAATTATAGTAGTACAGTCTTCAAAATTCCAAAATAAATTGCGTTTGGCCTTATTAACTATATTATCAAATATTTCTTGAGCTGATGTTGATGAGTCAGAATTGGTAGAGACAGAATCATCTACTTCAAAACAAAGATGAAGCAAAAATTTGAATTTTATATGTATTTATTTTTTTATCTTCTTTGATATCAGTTCAAGTGGTTACTCAGAATGTTCAATTAGCTGTTGGTTAGTCTTCCTTAAAGTTGTATCTATTTCCTTACAATTAACATTTTCACTAGTAGATTTAACGTAGGATTTTCATTTTTTGTATTTGCGTTTGAATATCAATTTTTTCAAGTTAAACCATATTTTTCAGCAATTTATCCTATAGATAAATTGTTGGATACATCTTGTACAGCTTCGATCGCTTTTTGCAAATTTTCTATGCTATATTGAACTTTTGGAGTCTTTGGCATACTGAAAATGAAACATTAAAAGCCATTTCAATATTTATGCCTGTAAATTGCAAAACAAGTCTAGCAATGAGCAACTTAAACACTGCTGCTGCACGGTGGCAACACTCTAATAATAATTGCCCTGGGCAATAACTATACATTAACATATGGCAATAACTGAAATGATGGTGGGCAATAACTAAAAATATACAGATTTACGTGCAGTGATTACCCACCGTTAAAATGACCGTTAGAAATCAAATTTTATCAGATATTTTCATTGATAATGGAGAAAACACTTATAATTTCATCATGACTATACACCATTAGCTGAATATTAAATAACTTGCAAAAAAAATTTAACCTCTAAGCAAGTAATTCCTTAGTAAAATTGTTAAAGTCTTTACCTGTTTGAGTAACATTTTCACCCGTCTTGACAAAATCCGCCATAACTGTTTTTTTTTAGTGTTTCCTATTGTTAATTTTAAATCTACTGTACATTGATCTCGGAGCCAACTACTTAGTAAATTCAAATGTAACTAGAGTGATTCAAAGTCAGCACCTGACAATATTATTCTTAAAGCGGGCAATCACTACCAGTGGGCAATCACTCTCTGGTTTACCCTATCATGATGTTATATGGTAGGACCTACTTCTCTTCAACTTTATTTTAGTTTGAATATTTACTCAATATGAAACTTCAAGGTTACTTATATTCTGACTGCTTTATTTGAAAATGAATTACCTAGTTAATTGAAAAATTGCTAGCAAAAGTTTGAAACTAAATCCTGGTCTCGAATATCGCCTAATTGATTCCGAAGCCAATCATCGTCTGTACAAACATTTACTTAAGGAGTGTCTAATATCTTACGCCTACCAGTAAAAGGGTACAAAGGTTGTCAAACAAAGGAGATAATATTGCGGCAAACACATCGCAAGATGAATAAGGTGTGGCTGCTTTTTAGTATTCGTTGCGTTCAGCCCACGGCTGTATTCTGGAACCTCTCTCAGTGTTGAAATTTAATTAAAACGAATGCCTCAAGATCCGTGAATACTGGATTTAGGGGTGTGACGGAATGCTCATTTTTAAGCGTTGCCTATTTTGCTAAATAGTACCTACGATATAGATTTTTTTTCTAGATGGCAATGAAGATTATTTGTGTATTTGCAAAATATAGAGACCATTACACACACACATCATGGTTTCAGGCGTGTTTTACAATCTGTTTTTACCTGCGATTGCTTTGCTGCATATTTTATGTACATTGATTGCGTTAGCTTAGCGTCCACATCGCGTAACTAGTGCATGAAATACGTGTGACAGCGCCTGAAAAAGTGAAGTGCATGGGCGGAAAACTTTATTGTGATTCATACCATGAGTGTTCTTTGGACGATTGGGTAAAAGTTTTGTTAAGATGAACCACATGACTCAATGACGCCTTCTCCATCATCATCATCATCATCATTTAAGTTACAGGACGTCACTGCTGAACATAGGCCTCGTCCAATGATTTCCAGGTTGGCCGGTGGATAGCTTCCAACGCCTTCCAGCTAGTTTTATGAGAGCTTTGCCTTTTAATATCCATATCCATACTTATGTGACAGACTGAAATGCACGCAAATCACCGGGAAAAACTAGTTTTTATTATAAATTATAGTACAAGACGTTTAGAAGCAACAGATTTGAGCACAACCCTCTAACGCTGCAGGTGAGAGAATTAATATTCCATCCGCGTCGGTCTACTTCCAGATTTACCTACTGAGTCAGGGAGCTCGCAGCTTTGCCGCTCTTAATAATATTATTTAGTACTATTAACCGATACTCGTAATTATAATGCATGTGCATCGATTTTTATTAGCTTTTGTTTTTAACTTGAAAAGCCTGCAATTTGGTACTCGTGCATGAAATGCTATGCATGGTGCTATTACTAGCGTCACCATTAGACAAACCAGTTCCTTATTGACTTTCAGAAACCATATCGTGTGTGAGCTTGTTAGTTTGGTTTTCATGAGGACTCCCACTAGGTGGACCAACGATCTTGTGAATTCCGCGGGAAGTGCCTAGATGCGACAGGTGGACGTCATTTGGCTGATATGAACGAAAGCTCTTACCACGTTAAAAACATAAAGCTAGTTTTTTAAAGTTATTTTCTATAAATAAACTATTACGTAACGTACCATAAAAGTACTTAACGAACTCATTATGGTTTGATGATTAAACATTTTTGAAACGCAAAGCTATGAATTCCTACGAATAAATCATTATTTAGGCAAATTTCTGGGTAAAGCACTATTGCGGGTGGTCCCTATTGGGCTATTCAAATAATATATGGTTCAATAGTGTGAACATTAATGTGCGGACGATGGCACTTTAAAGTAAATACTATGGTAGATATCTTGTGTGGTTACAATAGAGTCGAGTTTGCATTAAAAACGTGTAGTGATGTACGTGCTGCGTACCGAATTGGGTATTGGGTACCGAATAATATGAAAAGAGGAACTTCCGTAACTAGTTAAGTAGCTGAATATCAGCAACTCAGTATGGACCAGATACCGAGTTTTCGAAAATCGCCATGGAATGTTAACTTGAAAGTTCTAGGCATGATATTATCAGTATTGCGGCTAATATTATGTAAATTATTACTATTAAAAATCACCTATTCACGACAAAAATATTCGCGTTCACCAATGTATTATTATTGGGTAGGTACTTTTAATATTATGTTAAAATTAAAACAAGCATATAATAAACGCAGTTTTTATTTATGAAATTCATTAACAATGTAGTCACACTCACCTATCCTTTAAAAACAGACATAATTAAATTAAAAAAATCCATAATGCTAATTAGATTCTACCGCAGTTAGTTAAAAACAAAAGTGCTTTAAATAATTATCTTTATTTCTAACTTAGGTAATCTTGCAGTTAAAAAAAATTAGAAACCAGAGGGAAATCCTATTTCAAATGATATTTTTAACCTATTCTGTTGTATTGGGTACCTGTATTAATAAAGCTCTTGAATAATGCATTCAACATTCAAGAGTTTTTGACACACGTTTTTAGTGGCAAGTATAGGGTTGTCCTATTTTGCACAATATGTTACGATCCACGTATATTTTCATCGATTCTTCATCGTATACTTTAGTCCCGTTATCATTATAGTTCAAAGCTTCGCAAACCCTGCAGAGTTGCAGAGACGTCGTCCCAAGGAAGCCATGTTCATTAATAACGCTAAAGTAAAACCTCCATTTATGGAACAATTCGAAATATTCGTCATTTATACTGAGGTATAATATTTCCATTGCGAGCTCTCGCGGGGAATCGTACGCGCTAACGTGCAAAAATGAGTTGGGAGGCAATAATTTCACGCAGTCCGCTACGGGAGGTCCCATCACTATTGGTATGGCGCCTTTGTCGTATGCATTGTGATACACTTTCTCGGTAAGGTATTGACGACATTTTGAATTTTCAAAGGCTAAATAAAAGAGATACTTGTTCAACTTCGGGCAATCGGCTGCTGTGTGGCCAGGGCAACTGTAACAAATGTCAAAACTGCACTTTATTTACTAATTAAATAAAATATTTGTTAAATCTTAAAATGATAAAAATTAATTTAAAAACTTATGTGTAGTCTTTATCCATTGTTTTTTGGCTTGCCACGGAACTGCAGCACATCAAATAATATATTATGTTCACAGAAGCTAACATGGATGGTTCCATGCCCATATTTAAATGGAGAGCTGCCTCCATGTTAAATCAAATCCGTGATAACGCCAAACTATTTGTTTTTGTATATTTTTTTCTATAGGCTTAATTTACCTGTTTTTCATTTTCAAATTGCGTGCACATCCTCCATAAATGTCCACTTTTATATATTTCTCCAGTTCGCGAATATAGTTCATACGGTGTGGTACGTTGCAGTGGGATATCAAAGCGGCCACCAACACCTTTCTTTGCTTCTGCTCCCAGTATGGGATGTGCTTGGTGATCGGGTCGTAGGCCATCTCATGCATCAACTCCTCGGGTATAGGCACAACGCGGCCATATGGTATAGGCACATCTGAATCACTTCTGTAAAAAGTTCGTTAAAATATCACTCAACGATTGGGAAATGGTTTTTTGACATTCCTATTGCTTTTGCAATGCCATTTAGAAGTATAAATTTAAATAACGTGATTAAAAGGGAATTATAAGGGTAAACTTTTAGAAAAATATGGCGTCATTTTTTGCTCCGTTTCTTCTCTCTTCACATCATTTTCTCAGAGCTAACAAAGTTAATAGAACTTGTAAAAGTATTTTCAATTATCTCGTTTTTTTAACATCCCTTACAATACCTATAAAGTAACATTAACTAAATACACACCTGTATGTCATAGACCAGTTGTAAGTGTTAGAAATATCAGAAATATTTGGATCAGGGTGAATGAAAGTGTGAATCGGGGACTCCTCCGTCAAAAATACCCATCTTTGAGTTGTGTTCCTTTTATCGACCCAAGGGAACTTTTTCTGCTGCATATGGACTACCACTGCATCCACTGAGTTTATGAGCTTATCTTCACCGATGAATTTGCAATTGTTCACACTGCACGTAGCAAAGGATTTTTTTCTGAAGAACCAAAAATATTTAAGAAGCGACAATTAAATAGCTCAACGATAAAGGGATGGCGGACTCGAGACCCTAAATAGCACAAACTAGTTCCCAAAGTCGCCAAGCTCAAGCGCCAGAACGCTTACTGCAGACCTTGTGCAGCCGCTTTGCAGGCAAAGGGGCACAACTTTTTGCAACCTACAGTTCCATTAGAACTTCACAAAAGTGGCATAAAAGCGATAGAAGAGCTGCAACTAATAATTAACACCACACTAACGCTCTTGTGGCGCTTATTGAATGAATGACAGGTTTAACTGAACGAATAAAGGATCACTGTCTCTCATTTACACAAAATAACAATCTCAGAGTTTAATCAAGTTTAACACGTCGGTATCTTATTTAACGACAAAAATTATTAGACTTATCTAAAGCGTAGAGTTATGTGTAAGTAGGTAAATAACGAAGTTATTAGACAAGTCTACCTCATCCTAGCTAGATTAAATTAATCCAGGACAGTAAAGATAAAAGATAGACAGATAATAATATTACTCACGTCATGTGTCTGTGTTTGAACCAATGCCAGTGTTTATAAACCAACACAGTGAATGTTCTGTTCTGTGGTTTATACTTTATAGGCTGGTTTTTGAACAGAATCGTTCCTAAATTTGATGTTACCCAATGCTGAAAAAGACAAACTCTACTAATTAATTTGTCACTTACCTGGTAATAATACACTCATAACTAATATTTTTGCCACAATTTAGTAAAGATACTAGAGCCAAAAATCCTATCTAGTACCTCAAATTGCTATAAAAATACAATTTAATTGCATATTTTTAGATGCTATTCATTATTTAATAAACTCACTTTTCGTTTTTCATAATATTGTTCAATTGTTAAGTTGTACATGAGTATACGTTCACCGACTCTTTCATAATAATCTTGTTCTTCGCGAGGCACTTCAACATCAAACAATGTTAGTGGCCCTAGAAATACTATGGTTATAAGAAAGCCCTCTACAATATTTCTTATCGCACTAAAAGGTTTGAATTGTTTAAATCGTCTGTATATAAGGGCCATAAGTAACTGAACTTTGAAATTACTTATTAATTACTTAAATGATTAAAAAAGTATACAGCGTGCAGAATCCTATCACTATCAACGCATACTAACGGCCTAAGTTTCAAAAACTATAATTAAAAAATAAAATACACACGTTAATTTTCAATAGTAATTACAACAGTTACAATGTTTCTAAAACAACCCAACGTCTAGGCCGGATCTTAGTTCACAAAGGATGAATCATAATTAGGTATGACATAGTACTCTGAGGTCATCTCTTATCGATTGTTTGATAACGTGAGACATTGGTTCTCAAAACTAAAAGACAAAATTTGTTCCTTCTAACTCTTGAGTATTTTCAGATGTCTTATGTTGTGTAAAACCTCAATGTACGAGTACCTATCAATAATTCGTTTTTAGCTCGTAGAGCTGATGACCGTTAGGGCAGAAAAGTCGAATGGCGACCACGGGTCGGAAAAACCTGGATGCGGGCAGCGCAGGACTGGTCCTTGGGGGAGGCTTTTGTCCAGCAGTGAATGTCATTTGGCTGAAAAGAACGAACGAACGAATTAGTTTTTAAACTTTGTAAGAAAACTAGAATGCGATTACTGCGAAAATTAATGCGAAACTGTTACCTAAATAAAAGCAACAGAAGACAACAAATATTAATAAAAACCTGATCAAAATTTCAGCTATACTTACTGCTTAAAATACACGTAAATATTCTAGATGAATAGCTACTTCTACCACAGAATAAGTAATCTTCTACATAAAAGCAGCTTAATGAAAATACTTCAGTAAGTTACCGGTAATATACGCCAATGTGTGGCCGAATAGATTAATGACAGTAATTCGATTTTATAACGCGGTTCCGCAGCGGGGTACGAATTTAATTAACCTTCTTATGAATTAATTGCGTCTACGGTGTGGAGTTCGAAAATCCCAGCATTAATATTACATAAAAGTTGGGTGAAACAGATCTGGAAATAGCGTGAGATTTTGTTGTTTAAGTAATTTGAATGAAAAAATACAATTTGCTTCTCGTCTATAAATCTTTCCCTTGTTTGGGTGGTTCCAGGGGAAGAAGAACGCACGGAAATACTATAAGATTTAATAATAATATGAGTATTAACCGTATCGGGACACTTGCGCGAAAGACACTAGCGCGAATGTCCATTAGCGCAAATGGCGCGGCTTTTCGCGCTAGTGTCTTCGCGCTTATGTCTTTCGCGCCAGTGTCTTTCGCGCAAGTATACCAGAACCGAGTATTATCTATAGAATCTCGTCTCCAACATTATTTACAAGCTGTCAAGGTTTGACAAGTCGTAGCTTTGAATACGAGTAGGTACAGCAAGAATAGTACAACATCGGACGAGCTAAATAACAACTGTCTACAGTATTTTTGCGCACGGGTTATGCATAGCTTATTTTTATTGCTTTATAACCTAGAAACAAGAATAACAACAAAAAATTGTTCTGAATTTGCTTTTATGTGTAAAAAATAGAAAAATTCATATCAATGAATGTATGAAACATGAACATAGAGATGATTTAATTTGTCGCCAATTTTTTTTTCTTTCTTTCTTTCATTCTTTCTAATTATTAAAACATAACAAACATCCATTTAAGATTCATTCTCACAAGAGAAAAATTAAAATAGGGTCCAAATATTTATTAAAAATGAAAAGTTCTAATTTCCTGTCATGTTCCATAGAAGATTTTTTTCATAAAAATCTAACCCTATCATGCTTTCAGTATACTGGCCTTGGTAACGTCGTTTCTCAAATCCCACTATATTTTGATGAAAGCGTGCCCCTTGTTCTTGCGAATAAGCCCCCATAATTATTTATAAATATATTCCAATGAGAATGTGACGTGCATCTTTAGAGACATTCTACTATGAAGATGAAAAATTCAAATCGCTATAACTTTTTAAAAAGCAAATATTTTCGATTTGTAATCGCACTTTTTTATATACATTTGCTTATATAATCAGAATATAATAAGTAAAATCCATGCGCAAAAAAAAAAAATTTTTTTGTTGACCGGTGTAATTCAAATTGAAATTATTTTTGTAGACCCTTTTCAGGGCCATTTCAATAGTAGGTAAAGCTTGCTCTACCATCCCTTCCAGATAACATTAGGTTTAGGCTGAAACTTTTAGACCTTTTCGAGCCTCTTAGGAAATACTAGGGAGTTTTATCCTGAAAATTAAATTATAGCACATCACCAACATATTTTCAGGAGCAACTGAGCCTTTCTGTATTATAATAAATATATTTCTACCTTATTGTATTATGCCGCGAGCTCATAAAGTGAAGTCTATTAAAAGCGTCTAAAAAATCATCAAAAATTTTTTTTGGAAAGTTTTTCAAAGTAATTTTGTTGGATACGTATGCAAAAAGAACGAGAGAATGCTGTTACGTTCGTGCAGTTTGCTGAAAAAAATGGCAAAAATATTCCGAAATTAAATTAAGTAAGTATGTATTTCAGGTAGACATGAAATCACTCAACTTTCACTCAAGTATGTACAAAAGCTACTTAGTTTAAACTTGTCCACCTGAAATTCAATTTTTCACATTAGAGAATAAATTTTATAATAATACATTAACTTAAAATTACTTAAAAACTAAAATTTTAAAATTACTAATGATAAAAACTATTTACAAAATAAAAAATACTTCACCCCCAGCGCCGCAGTCAGGAATGGTGCCCAAAAGGCTGGCAGCATTGCCACGTTGAATGGCCAGGCTAATTCTCTGACCAAAATAGCTGCCAGCCTTTTGATCACCGGTCACCTCGGTGAGCCTCTTTGCCAGTTCCTTATAAAAGGAACGAGCGCTTGGACCCCATGGTCCCATAGTCTCAACCCCAAACGGCACAAATATATAACTCTCATTGAGAGCTGCATATTTGCGCCGCTTGGAGCACTCAGCCGAGGCCGCCGCCGCGCCTGCGGCAAGGGAGGTACCTCCTGTATGAGACGGAGCAAGCGTATCCGCGCATGTTGCGTCCCACACAAGAGGACGTCCCTGCTTCCAGGGAATGAGCGTCATGCCGTCAGGTCTCTTGCCGTCGTCACGGAATATGCCGTTAGGCTCTAAAACTGCTGGCACATTGACGGCGACAAGAGCTCTGCGGATGACGTCATTGATGCAGGCGTGTCGGGAGACTCGACCAGCGCTCATTTGGCATGAGAGGCCATGGTGTCCTAACTCACCGACGCGAGTACCGCAACGACAGCGATGGGGATGGTTTGTCTTGACGCCAAGTCTAAGGGAAATGGCGAGGGACAGTGTACTCCTGTCAAGCAGAGTCCCGATATTGGCCGAAGGAAGAGCGTGTAGCCAATAACCGGACTCTGCCTGAAAGACCGCTAGTAGGCGAGCACGCTCTGCAGCATTTTCGGAGGAAGTCAATAAATCACTCTGAAAACGCAAACAGAGCGGCTCGTCCCACTGCCTCTGAGACGATAGAGAGGTAGGTGGATCGGCTCCCGGGCATGCCCTAGTCCAAGCGTTTCTGGCCTCTGCGAGGTGAGCCAACTCCACTACCCCTAAAGAAGGGGACAGTAATTTATTAAAGAGTTCGGCTGTACCATACGCAGAAGACAGAAAAGCTGGAAGGGCAATATGCGATATCTGACGTGTGCCTAATAATTATAATTCCTTGTAAATTATAGAGTATACTCTATAGTATACTCTATTTGTATTAATAATTGCAAAGTTTCATCAAAAACACTTTTATAGTTTTTGCGTGAAATAGTACCATCCTCTGAAACTTTCACATAATATTAGTATTAGAAAAGTAACTTAGCATTTTTTTCTCATCCCGTCTTTGTCAGTGTTAGAAAAGTCTATTTCAATGGAAAGTAGAATTCAAATTCTTCCCATTGCGGTTGACTAAACATGACTGAACTGAACAGCGGGTATGAACCATTTTTGGACAAAGGTCCATCTGTCGCGAAGCCACGAATGTTGGGAGTTGATGCAGTACATTTGCATTGCAGATACGTGGGAAACTAGTGAAGCGAAAGAAATCGGTTTTTGGGGCGGAAAAATCGGGATGTTCGGAGATAGACACGTAACCCTATTAAGACGGGATAGATTGAAATATTTTCCGAGCTAACATAATTAAAAAGACTTAGATTGGGTGGTTTAGATAACGTTCTAGTTTGCTTTTTGCAGACTTTACCACTGATAAACGGATAACGGCACGTCAACCTAAATACTGCAGCTTTATGTAGTAGGTAGTACTTATTATGTACGAACTTGCAATAACAAATAGATTGAATGGAGACCACTTATTAAAACTGGATTTTGTCATTATACAATTCACCACTAGTCTGCGCACTAGCCAAATATTTTTTACAGAGAGAAAAAATTTAGGCATTACGATTAATCTAAATGGGTAATTTAATTGTTGATTTAGCACGCTTATCAAAACATCGACATGTATAGGTATCTTTTATGCGACGGGCCATCCCTAACGGCTACTATCTCCGCCTGTGCCACGTACGTACAGGATTTAGCACTCAGATTATGGCAGAAAATTAGCATGTTACCTAAACAAGCGCTGCGATACGTTGGAATGCTTAAAAGGTTTTTCATTGAAACTCTCCTGCAAGGTGTTTGGATTTGTCGCTAGAATTTCACAGCCCTACTTTATGTAAATTCTTACACCAGAGTTTTGGTGATGCCTGTGTGTTGTATTAGATTAGGCTTAATTTGCTCTTTAGGACATTAAATTCTTCTCAAAATTTTGGTATGAATACTGTTTTTATTAAATAAAGCGTTTCTTGAATTAATTCCTTACTTCTTACGAGAAAACTTTTCCATATCTTTATTTGCCTTTTTGAAGACAGAAAATTCAAAATTTTCTCTGATTTTTCACGCAAAGAATGTTCAGACTTCGCGATCGCGAGTGCTCAGAATATTGAGTATTGTACATCGTTGGAGTAAGTAAATATTGGTTTACCATTTTGCTAAGACCTGACTGCATTGCATCAAACAGTTGAATAGGTAAATTAATATTTATTCGACATCATACGAGTACATCGTCTTGAAATCAAAAATTAAATAATTATAAATGTAATTATCGAATCTATTCTGAAAATCATTTACGTGAAAAGTCGTATCCAGTAGGCTTCCCCGAGATCTGGTTGTTATTTAGGCGTAAACAAATTAAGTACTTTGTCTATTCTATTACCTAAGTTTAGTTACAATGTTAACTTTTGTTAAGGTTCTCTAAAACACTGAGTCGAAGTTTCGTTGTCTGTATTTATTTTCCCAAACGGTTTCATTCGCAAAATTGAGCAGACCCGACCGTTACCTACTTAGGTAAATACCGGGAAGTTGCAAACTAACACCTCACCACTCACCTTCTTACCACTAAGCTGATTATTTACTTTGAACAAAAACCCCCGTTCCCTCTCCCGTCTATTGTGGGAATTTTAAGTATCTCCAAAGTAAATTCTATACCCACGTAATCACCTTACTTCTGTGTAATTTTATACTTTTAGGGAAATCTACCTGTTTGTTGTCAACTTTGCCAAGCTGTAGGTGTAGGATGTATCGTAGCT